CTTAGTATAGCCTATACTCTTCACCAATTTAGGCCTGGTTAAAGTTCAATAGTGGCTTTCCTTGGTCTGTGAGTCTTATTATCATTTTTATTTTTAAATTTTAGGCTCAGGAGAAGAAAAAAAAACCTTCCGGGACCGGGATTCGATGTCGCGCTTGGAAGCACTGAACATTAGACTTAGGCCTAACGAACGTAGACAGCTTGTATACGTTCTCTAAGCCTAACTTAAAGATAATATTTTTAGGTAGATCTAGAATCTATTGTATGACGACAGACTGCGGACAGGAAATACTGCTTACAGAGTTGCACCGTCTTGTTATTGTTATCCAAGCGTCTTTCGACTTACTTGCTCAAACTCAAAACTCAAATGATTGTGATTATGAACAAGACTACGCCTAGTCTACTTTTGTGCAAACAATGTCAGAAACAATTGTTAGATCTATTCTAGATCTAGATCTAGATCTACCCAATATTGCCAATACTGATTGGAATAAGACAACGTCATAAAAGAGGAGTCAAATCCTAGGAGGTTTATATCAAGAAACTGAGAAAGCTGCCACAATTCAGGCAGAACTACAATTATATTATCATGTAGAAACGATGGCTGCTAGATCTAGATCTAGATCTAGATTCTAGTAGGCCTACTGGCATTTCAAATAGCACGGGAGCTATTCAGAACGCGGGGTTGGAAATAGCGCTTGCCAAAAATAAAAGAAAGAAAAAAAAGTAAATTTCTGAGTCGACTCTACCTCGTTTGCTTTTTGAAAAAACGACTTTCGGTATTTTTAGTTGCCATTGTGGACAAGCGCGGCTTTCTCAGTACCGGTCTACTTGTATTTAGTTTTTTTAGTATGCCCGTGTCGCGGTAAGGAATGAAGCGAAAAATAATACGAATAACAATTTCATTTCGCTTGTGTTTTGAACGGAAGAAGAAAAGGAAAAATAAGCCTAACCCTAAAATTTACCGTAATCAAGGAGGCATGGCCCCCCCCCTCATAAATAAGAAGTGCTGCTCCTGATTAGGGGTACAAGTCCCCCTGAACCCCCACCCCACCCTACCAATAACCCTATAAGAAAAGAAAACCTACCCTCTGCAACGAGCGACCACCTCAATAAACACAATAAAGAAAAGTCCTGACCCAACCCCTAATCCTACCCCTACCTGCACCTTTACCCCAACCCTAACCCTAAAAACCTAACCTTCAACAAACACAATACAGAAGAGACCTACCCTTACCCCTACCCGTAACCCTCAACAAACACAAACCTACCCCCACCCCTATCCTAACACTAACCCAAACCCCTAGTTCCTACCCCAACCCCTACCCCAACCCTACCCCTTACCCTAATAATCCTCAACAAACCAAATAAAGGAGAGACCTACCCCTACCCCAAACCCTAACCCCACCCCTACCATCCCAACCCTTCACAAACTCAATAAAGAAGAGGCCTAACCCTAACCCTAAGCCTACTCCATCCCACCCCCACCTCTAACCCTTTACAAACACAACAAAAAAGAGACCTATTATTACCCCTAACCCTGCCCCTGACCCTACCTCCACCCGGACCCCAACAGTAACCCCAACGACCTACCCCTAGCGCTTAAACAAACACAATAAAGAAGAGACCTACCCCTACACCAAACCCTGACCCTAAAAAAAATCACAATAAAGAAAAGACCTGACCCTACCCCCTGCCCCCATCCCAACTCAACCCCTAACCTTCAACAAACACAAGGAAAGACCTATCCCCCTAACCCTACCCCGGGCCAGACCATACCCCTACCCATACCTCTATCCCTACCCCAACCCCAGACCCTACCCATATCTATACCCCTATCCTTAAACCTAACCCTAACAACTCTCTATTTTTCTCTGTTTCATATTGGTCGCTCATCGCGGAATTCCTCCTCCCTAATAATAATGCAATGTATTTTGCTAGAATTATTTGGTGTGAGAATTTGGTTAGAAACCGAAGAAAACCTGGCAACTCAGCACTCCCAAACAACGGAAGTAGATAAAGTCTGCGGGGTCAACAATGGCTGAGCCTTGATTCAAGTCTACTAATCCCCGACTCAGACCTTCAAAACTTTCAACTGGGCCTAAAAATGCGCAAACTACCGTAATTTTGTCATGAACAGATGGTATAATAACTGTGGCTTTCGGTCTCCCATCATGATTTTGGAAGCCATCTAGATTTAATACAGTGGAATCCACTTATAACGAGTCCTGAAATAACGAGAAGTCTGTTATTAAGACACTATATGCTAAAACCCTGTTTTTTCCCTTCTTTATCTTTGTAAATAAAATACTGCTATAGCGCAATCAGACAAACATGTGAATCGGTTATAGCGGACTATTGCTGCTGCTGTGCACAGCGCATAGGCCATTTATTAATGCAAATCCTCGCCAGTTGTTGGTGATCTTGCAAAACAAAGAATATGAGAGCCCACGTGTGCCAACAATGAAGGCGGAGCAAATGAGTGGGGAGGATGCGGTATGCACAGACAAGCAGAACGCATCGCGTGATAGGCCAGCCTAGTCTAGATTATCTAGGCCTAGCATGCCTCTCTCTTCCCCGATGCGGGGATGGAGAGGCCATAGTGCTGTGATGGATGGAGCGAATGTATGACGTGCGCAAGCAGATGGAACGCACAACCTGGTGTGGTGGGGTGGGGGACAACACAGCGGGCGAGTTACCCTAGAGAACTTTATTTCTGATCGCTGGCGCCGAGCTGTCAACATCGCTAGCGCTAGAGAAAGAAACCTTATTCGATTTTTGATCAAGTAAGACCCAGAGATCATGTTGAACCAAATCATCATCAGGGGAGATTACAAAACGAAACAAACAGAAAACCAGACTCATAGATTCGGCCTACTGTCCTATTTCCCTTGAATTTATTACTGGATCCCTTTTAACGAGAATCCTACTATAGCGGATCTTTGGCACCGGTTCCCTCCCTCTCGTTATAACAGGATTCCACTGTAGTGATCGCTCGTTACGGAAGTCCTCCCTAGATCTAGATCTAGATCTAATCTAGAGTTTAGTAAACTTATTAAGTCAGTGAGAGTGATTGTTATTTGTACTTGTACTGAACTTAGATCTAGATCTAGTAGTAACTAAAGTGTCTAAACTAAGTCAAGTACGAATGTCTGGTACAGTTACAGGAGGCCTTATTGTTTGTTAGAGGTTAAACAGGGTGAGTGCCAGGCCCCGGGAATGAGGAAAAAATCGCTGAGACCCGGGAATGCCCTGGGAATTTGAGGAAATCTGTAAATTGCCCCGCGAAGGACCTGTGAAACTACAATATAAAAGTTCTCGAATATTTGAAAACCAAATCCAATTTAACACCTTTAAGTTCATTATCTGTCGTAATTGTGATATTAATTCAGCTTTTCTCCGTCTGAGAGTACGTTACACGCGAACAGGCGGCTATGGCTGCAAGCGGAAAGTGTGTAATGTGTGGTGACACAGAGGCTCAATCGGGAAAATCAAGATCTGCTTTCGCTTTCATTACCACCCAGAAATTTGTTGGTAGTAGTCTGGCGCAACATTTGTAACATGCAGGTTGTGCATTACAAAAGTGGTGTCGCCATGAAAATAAATCAATATTCGTCACTGTGTTGTCCTTTGTGAGGGGAAAAAAAGAAAGAAAGTTATACAAGCGTCTGGTCGAGCTTGCCATTGGGACCGGTCAGTGAACCTGAGCGCTGCATGGTACAGGACTCCTGTTATGGGAAAACCCCTGGATGAAAATTAGTGAAACTTGGTGCAACCAATCAGAAGAAAGGCTAACTAAACTGACTAGGCTACTGTGCAAACGTCCAATGCTCACAGATTTCTAGAACTGGAGAAATTGGTGTGTTTGTGACTTGAAAGTTTGTGTGATTTTCTTCTGTGTTTCATAAACTAAGAGAGGAGCAGCTACTTGCACGCTGACCAGACAGGCGGCCCTTATTCTTCTTTTAAATTGCTGTGATGTTTTAGATCCCTGTGTGTAGTACATTTTACTTACCACAACTTAAAATTACCAACCATTCTGCGATAAAAGGCTAGAGCTGGAAACTGGGTCTGCAACTGAACTAAAGATTTTGCAATAAAAATTATACGGAGATTCCAAGTTTTATTCATGAATACTCCCGATTCATTTCAGACTTTTATGACCAGTTTCCCCTAAAAATACATCAACCATAGGATAAAGGAACCAAAATAGCAACTCAAATAAGGTGGATTGAATTAATTAGTAGTGGTTCCTGACTTTATTTTTTCAGTTTTTTTCTATTATCGCTCGTAAAGGATGTGTGTAAATAGACACTTTTTGACAAACTGCAGGATTTTGATTATAATTGTTTCTTCTTGAGCTGCTGCACAACTAATTTTTAGTGTAAGTTCATCACAAGTTCATTCAGTTTTTAAAAGTTTTTTTTGCAGTGGGTCTCAAGGCACTGGAATGTAAAAGAAGACCTCAGTGACTTTTCCATTTGTTGATATCTTCTTTTTGGAGGATTTTAGGAAATTTGGACTAAGTATAATTTTGTAATAATTCAAGTGCACAAAGTATTCTTGTACCATAATATTCTCTTTTATGTTTGAACTTTCTTTTTTGCAAATTAATTTTATTTTTATTTTTCTATATGGCAGTAGAAGTAGGCTTTGTCAAATGCCCTGTTTTTATTGCCTTTCTTTATGAGATGGTTGGTACAATTTTTGTCTGGGAATGTCAGCGACCACTGTGCCTCTATAATGCAGTTTTCGCTGCTATAACTATATTGTAAAAAGTTTGACCAGTTTACAACAAAGTGTTTTATATTTTTGCTGTTTTAAACTTACTTGCCTCTTTTCCAGGTTCTGGGAGACGTTTCGATATTTTCCTATTTACTAAGACTAAAGTTCTCGTTAATTTAACTTTAGTTAGTGGATTGAGTGCTCCTTTCCTCATTATTTTCTTAGAAATTTTCATTATAACTAAACTTTTTTATGTGTTTTTTAAAAATGTTTCAGTGCCATTGAAATTATTCGAGATGTGGAATACAGGGTTGTTGTTTCGCAAACAAACACAAATTTGACCATAATCATGTAAGTATTATTAGATATTTAAAGTTATCAGGTATAAAGATATTTTCCGGCTTCAGTGATTTGAGATTTAAAGGGGTCCCTTGTTTTACGTCTATAAATTGCATTTAAAATAGCCACATTTTTCATGACAAATGTTTGCAGTATTTTGTTCATTTCAGTTTATAGTCAAACAAACTTATGACATCCCTTTTTCATACTACATTTAATCCTTCTCCAAAGTATTGACTTTTTTCTTACCAGAACTGAGATATTAAGGGACTAGATGGCTACTGTGTACAGAACAAGAGAGGGTTTCTAGTATTGTGCTTTTGACTCATATTTTTGTTCTCTGTCTGATCATTTTGAAAAATATAAGAAGTACACAAAACCGAAGACCTTTTTAGCTTTTACTGTATTTTACATTGTATTTTAGTTTGGAATTTTATTTGAAAAGTTGTGGTCGACTTTGATATTTTGATTTCTGAATTATGGTCACAAATAAAATCGAGAACTTACTTTACTTTATTTTTCCGATCCGGCAGCCATCTGGGTTCTAGCCCTTTGGCTTTTCGATATGGCAAAGAATTTACAGGATTTTGTCAGCTGTGTTTTGGTGCTGTATAAAGTATTTTCGATATCTGGGGAGGTAGGTTGGTAAGTGCTACATTGGTCGCTAAGTGCAGGTCAGGTAAAGAGATGGTGTGGCACTGTTTCTTCCTGGCAGTCACACAATGTGCAGTCAGGTGGGGTATCCTAGCGGATCCTATTTAGGTAGGAATTCAGTGGGATGTGTTGTGTTTGCAGGCGAAAGATAGTAACTTGTTCTCTTCTACTCAGGGAATTTAGTGCATATTTTGCGTTGGGAGCAGTCATGTGTGCAAATACAGCTCTTCCTGTTTTACCCAATGCCCATCCATTCAGCTACTGTTCCCTGGTGTTGCATTTGGTGATGTTCTTGGCTGTTTGTTGTGATACTGGGGTTGAGTTTGTGTTAATGATGCTCCCTTCTTGGCAAGGGTGTCTGCTCTGTCGATTTTTGGGATGTTGCTGTGGCCAGGTATCCACTGTAAAGTCAGGTCGACGACATAGGTCTGTATAAAGGTATTAATTGTTCGTGCCACAGATAGGCAAGCTGGGCTTTTCGAAATTCAATGTTTTCCAAAGCTTGGAGTGCTGATTTTTCGTCTGTGATTTTTCTGGATATATAATGAAAATGTTGGTCGGATGGAGGATTGCTACTTCAATGCCGATAGTGTCAGCCTCATAATTTGTACAAGAAGTACCACAGGCATCAAATAGTTCTTCACACGTCTTTTCAGAATGTTCTTTTCTTACTCCAAAGCCTGCATTGTTGGTGGTTGGCGGGTGCTCTGGTGTGGTTTGCTTCTTCTTTCCTATCAAACATCTATCGTCCTTATCTCCCCCCTCCCTTCTTTTTTATGTTTGTTACTTTCTTGTAACACCTCTAATCTTCTGGCGCTCATATGACCTTATACAGTTGCAAGCGCTGTAAAACCTATACTAAAACTATCTCCCCTTGTTCTTTTTTGTGTTTGTTACTCTCTTGTAACACCTCTAATCTTTGGCACTTATATGGCCTTATTGTGTTGCAAGTGCCGTAAAACTTTTACTAAAACTAAAAGCCTGCATTAATAGTTCCCTTGAAGGCTGACCCATCAGTGTAAATATGGATTGTATCACTAATGTAGGAATCAATCGTTTTGAGAGTTGTGGTCTTCAGTTTTACTGGGTCACATTCCTTTTTCATTGTCTCTTTTACGAGGGAAGTTTTGATGTTTGCGTTCTTGTTGTTGATGTTTGGGAGGAGTTCTGGTCTTAAGGGTTTCAGCATTTCTCTCTTACATGGAAGGTGTTTTATTTTCTACTAATTCGGTGGCTGTGTCGAGTATTGATCTAGATCTGCCATGGATTTGTTTCTTTGGTCGTCTCTGTTCGATTATTTTTCTGTTTGAGTTGTTCTTGTCTAGTCTCTGGTAGTGCGAACTCATCTCCACAACTGCTGCCTCTCTCCGCAGGTCTAGTTTGTATGGATTTCGCAAGCTGCAGTGAATCTCAAAGCTCATGAGATAAATTGTACAGCTTGATTCTGAATTTTGTCAAGAGACCTCTAAGTTGATTTGCTGCAGATTGTCTGTAGGGTTAAGTTATATACCATGACAGAGCATACATAGCCGACATATAGCTGTCTTGAGTGCATCCTTGTCTGCTCCCCATGAAATGCTAGCCAGCCGTCTGAGAAGGTTAAGTCTCTTTTTAGCTTTAGTCTTAAGGTTCCAGATATGATTTTTGTCTAAAAACTGCCTGTCCAGCTCGATCCCGCGGTAGGCTGGGTTTTTCAACTTTTTCGAGTTTGGTTCCTGCAAGTGAGATGGTGAGATTTTGCTTTTCAACTTTGTGACTTTCCGCAAAGATGATTTAAATTGTCTTGGTACAATTTGCTTTTAGTTTCCACTTGCAGCAGTAGCTGTTAAATCTATATAGGTCAAGTCTGAGAACAAAAGCATGAGTTTTTCCAGGGATTAATTTACTTCAAACATCTGTGACATAACTGACATAGTTATAATTGTGCCTGCTAAAATTTTTTTTTTTTTCCCCCGCAGCAACCTTCCAGCACAATTTCCCAGTGAGAAGCCAGTTTTGACCGTGCAGCCAGCTGTCGGTCATCCCTGGGTGGATGCTCAGATGAAAGTTGTGGGCTGTCCAAATGTCAACAATGTATGTCCTTTTGCTTCTGTTATTATTATATCTGTCCTCAGAGAAATTCGCGCACGCAACCCGCAAGTTGTGCACGCAACTTTTGGCCCTCAGCCAACTTTTGCCATTTTCGTGAAATCGCTAATTTCAGGCAATTTTTTGCAAAAGTTGGAAAAATAATTTAATATCGGTAAAAATAACCGAAATTGTCTTCCACAACTAAAAGTGACGCAAAGGGGGACAATTCGTACCTGAAATTAGATCTACCACTCCTTTGCACTACGGGGCGCACCTGAAAACAACGCGTTTGTTTTGGAGGCAGCGAGTGGGGCGCGATCGATTTGTGCCACGATAGCCACTTTGCGCCATCACAGTCTGTCTAGCAAACCGACCCGTCCCGACCTGACCTCCCCAATAGTCCTGTTTGGACTGAATCATCTTCTACGTCTTCTAGATCTAGCTAAATCTAGACTCTAGATCTAGATATCTATAGAGTAAACTCAATCGTAAACACGATCGTCTGATTACTTAGCTTGCTTGGTTCCGTAGCACCAAGTAGATAGATCTAGTATAAAAATTTGTGAAAGACTTTAAATCTTAGGCTAGGAGGGTAGATCTAGACATGGATC